AGATTGGTGGCCAATGTTGAAATTAGAATCAAGATACGAAAAGGACAAAATTATGGACTTTTTTGAAGGGAAAGTCCAAGTGATGAATTATGGATTTACACTACTGAGAAAATAATAAAAAAACATATTAGAATAAGATTTAGAGGATGAGAGGGTGAAGGAGGTGATGATAAAATGGGCACAAAACTTTGGGTATAATATTGATATTGGTGAATGGATAAAAATGTGGAAAGAGAATCATAAAATGATTAACCCAGCGACTCTTAGAGAAAATATCCTTAAAATGTTTCACAGATGGCATTTTACTCCTGTAAGATTTGCCAAAATGTCAGAACGGATGGACAATGTTTGTTGTAAATGTAAAAAAAAATCCAGGGACTTATTATCATATGTGGTGTTCATGCAAAAAAGGAAAAAAGAAAAAGAAAAAAATGGATACAGGTTTGGGAAATGGCAAAGGAGATTGTTCAACAAAAATTAAGTTTTAAACCTGAAATGTTATTATTGAATATAATGGCAGAAATTATTGATAAGAAAATAAAATATATACTGTATATATTCACAGCAGCTAGGTAACTCTGGGCCCAAAAATGGAAGAATGCAGAAACACCGATGTTGGATGAGCTATTAAAGAAGGTATTGGACATTGCAGAACTAGACATGCTTTCAGAGACACTATGGGATCAACCAAGAGACTTTGTAAAGCAAAGCTGGAAGCTGATATATAATTGGGCCCAGGAAAAGAGAGGAATTTAGGGGGGAAATTAGTTTATAGTAAACCAGTGCTCACCGGAATCCTTTGATGATACTCAGATGACCAGACGACGATGAAATCTCTGATCCACAAGGGAAGGATGGATGTTTAGTTGTAATATTTTTTGTTTATTATTGTTAGATCTTTAGTGTTTTTTAAGTTTGTATGTTTAGATACGTATGAATAAAAGGTTGAAAAAATAGATAGCACTGTGGTTTAAAAACCACCACCACAAATATAATAACTCTGCAATTCATCAATTTTTTAAAAAATGTATGCAGAAATAAAAACGAGATGCATTGGACAGAAGCCAACTCACACATTAAGGGAAATACATATTTCCTACTATTATGACATTTTCCCTCCAGGGATATAATTCCTTCAAAGCACAATCAGTCTTGCAAATGAAGCCTCCATCTACCTCCTGATGACCAATCAGAAAACAGAAGCAAACTAATTTGCTAAATGCAGAATGAATTAAGCATAATCAGCTAAATTTTTATTTCTTCAGAAAGCTCTTATTCTGATGATAGGGGAAGCCTGTATCTAATTTGGGCCAGAAGCCCTAAATATTAAGAACATATTGATTTGGGATATGAATTCAGTAAATTCCTCTGTAACTGTGAATTATATGAAATTCAGCCTTCCCTACATTGCACAAACAGCTGTAAACACAATTCCTTGATCAGAAATATCCCCGCCCCCCATGACATATACAAGCCACTAACATTTTTGTTTTATTGGGGAAAAGAATATGTGCATGTAAAGCAATAAGCGTAAAGCCCTTGAATGACTCTATCCGAACACGCATGGGGTTGAGAGAGGTACAAGTCCAGTTCTGCATCAGGTAAAGGATTCAGCACAGCACTGAACTTTCTGAACTGGAATAGTCTTGAATATGAAAGAGTTTCGACTTTCATCTCTTGTATTGTCTCTATAACACATGTATACTAAGAATTAGCCGACACTATTCATCTGCTACATAATGATCTGAGCAACTGGTTACATGGAAAGCAGACTTTTCTATAGAAAATTAAGAAGCGGCTCTATTTTCTCCTGTTTAATGTTTGCTAGTTATATATCACATCTGACCCTGTCAAATGTCACTTCAAAGCCTGAGAATGAACCACAAAATGAATGAGTCATCTCTTGCCAGAAGCTACACCAAGAAAAGTTCCCTTTCCACCTGAGTTTTTGTATTCCTAATCATTTGGATGGTCTGTATTGGACAGCAAGATCAGATAAATGCACAGTTCCTTGGCAGGTACAAATCCCTGAAGTTGTCCACACATATTAGTTACTACAGCTCTCCTGGGCATGATCATAGCTTCAGTAAGTTTTTAAATAGCAATTGCATCAGTTATGAATAGTTACTTATGTATTATCATGCCCATCATCAACCACAAAAAATTAACTCTCTGTAAAGAAAAAACAGAGTTATTTTTTAAAAATCCTGGCTGAAACAGATTCATGATTTTGCCTCTAATCAGCTGCTTTTGAGAACTCCATAAAAGATACATTTATAAAAGCTTGCAAAATGATTTCCTTCTCCTGTCCTTTGCCCCAGCTTCCCTCAAATGGACGCCTGCTACTAATGAACATTGGAGAATCCATTTAGCCACCATGCCAAGAAGTTGTGCACAGACCTCTCCCCAGTGAACAAAGTCGGAAGAGCAGAACCAATGGCCTATGCAGCACTTAGCTGATGTCTGTTCCAGATGGAAGCCCTGCCTAGTTTTCACCCAGCAGAGAAAATGTCTTGGGCAATGGGGGTAACAGGGGATGCCATTCCAGCATCACTATTAGGAATGTTATCAGTCAGGACACTTGGTTATATGGAAGTAACAAGCAAAAGCACCTCCCAACTCCAGAGAAGAGAAAGCTAGTAGAAAAGAGTCTGTTGAACTGTAAGCAAAATCAGGATCTGTCTTGCCTTCAAAACAGCTAGCTAACAACTAATTACTAAGTCTCCCATCTCTGTCTAATCCGTTTTCCCTGACAGCAGCAGCAGCAAAGAAACAACAGGTAGACTGCAGATTGCTCCAGGGAATCCTTTTCCAACAAAACTATTTTCTGAATTCTAGCAGCAAATGAGGAAACAGTAATGCTGATGAAGATGATTTGTTGCTTGTGGAGTCTTTTGTTTTCTCCCCTCAGCAATCTCTAGGTTTCACCAAGTAGTTGTGGGGGGAGGTTTACATAGATGAGTGCATATGTGCATGTGCACACGATCCTGTTGATATGACTTTGCCCCAGATTTGGCCCTCAAGGCAAAATTGATTGTACACCCCTGCACTATCTGTAGTTTAATCTACTTCACCAGGTTGTTTGTGGACAAAATACAGTAGGTCCTATCTTGTACTTTTCAGGGAAAGGGTGGCAAAAAAAGAAAAAAAGAAAAGAAAAGAAAAAAGAAGTTAATGAATAAACAAATGAATGAAACTTTCATTGGATGAGAAAAGGCAAAGTGCAAGAACTTAGAAAGATACTAAATTAGGTTAGAAATCTCAGTCTTTCGTGATGAACACTCTGTATAAACAGCTTACAGGTTTCCAGTAGTGTTAATACATGTTTATTTTTTAAATAATGCAAGCTTTCAATGGCAATATCTTGTGCCATCTTCATCTGGGAAGGCAAGATACCAACTGAATAAATAAACTTAAAAAAAGCTAACCTTAAATACAACAAGGTACAGTAAAAACCATCTGGGTAAACATTCAGACCAAACTCAGGCAAATTAACATTAAAGAACCCGTCAAGAAAAACATCTAGATCTTCTTCATTGACTACACAAAAGCCTTTGACTGTGTCAACCACAGAAAACTATGGCAAGTTCTTAAAGAAATGGAAGTGCCTGACCACCTTATCAACCTCCTGAGAAATCTATATGTGGGACAGGAAGCAACAGTTAGAACTGGATATGGAACAACTGATTGGTTCAAATTCGGGAAAGGAGTACGACAAAGCTGTATATTGTCCAGTTTATTTAACTTATATACAGAATACATCATACAAAAGGCAGGACTGGAAGAATCCCAAAATGGAATTAAGATTGCCAGAAGAAATATCAACAACCTCAGATATGCAGATGATACCACTCTGATGGCAGAAAGTGAGGAGGAATTAAAGAATCTCTTAATGAGGGTGAAAGAGGAGAGTGCCAAAAACAGTCTGAAGTTCAACATCAAAAAAACTAAGATCATGGCCACAGGTCCCATCACCTCCTGGGAAATAGAAGAGGAAGATATGGAGGCAGTGACAGATTTTCCTTTCTTGGGCTCCATGATCACTGCAGATGGTGACAGCAGCCACAAAATTAAAAGACCCCTGCTTCTTGGGAGGAAAGCAATAACAAATCTAGACAGCATCTGAAAAAGCAGAGACATCACCTTGCTGACAAAGGTCCGCATAGTCAAAGCCATGGTTTTTCCAGTAGGAATGTATGGAAACGGGAGCTGGACTATAAAGAAAGCTGACCGCCAAAGAATTGATGCTTTTGAACTGTGGTGCTGAGTCAGTCGCCTGGACTACAAGGAGAACAAACCTATCCATTCTAAAGGAAATGAACCCTGAGTGCTCACTGGAAGGACAGATCCTGAAGCTGAGGCTCCAATGTCTTCTGATGAGAAGAGAAGATTCCCTGGAAAAGACCCTGATGCTGGGAAAGTGTGAAGGCAAGAGAAGAAGGGGACGACAGAGGATGACAGAGGATGAGATGGTTGGACAGTGTCATCAAAGCGACCAACATGAATTTGACCAAACTCTGGGAGGCAGTTGGAAGACAGGAGGGCTGGCGTGCTTTGATCCATCGGGTCACAAAGAGTCGGACATCTCTTAATGACTAAACAACAACAACAATAACAACAACCTCGCAGTGTCCAGTGTTATATAAGAGCAACCAAAGGTTAGCTTTGATATCTTACTTTCTCTGAAGAAGATTGTGCAGGATATTGCCATCAAAAGCTTGGATTATTAAAACAATAAACATGTATTGACATGACTGGAAACCTCTGAGCTGTTTACGTACAAAATTATGTGTACTAAATTTAATTGCTCTGATTGGTGGTGCAACTTACCAGTTAAAATTTGTTCATGAACCAATCTATAGGTTTCAGACTGAGAGGAAAACCACCTCTCAAATATGCTGATTCTTCCCTTCTTGAACCAAATGCAATGCAAAGGAATTCAATTATTTCTCTTCCAGTTTCAACTTTGCTCTCTTTCCAGATTCCCAGTTCACACCTACCTTAGGAAGATCATATAGATGACAATGTGGTTGTCCAGCCCGCTGTCGACACAAATGAATAGAATAGCACAGCATATCAGCATTCATTTTAGCCTCCATTCTGAAAAGAAATAACACAAAAACAACAGTAGAGGTTCTCTTATTAAAAACTAGTGACTCCTTCAGTTAACAAGTAGAAGTTCTTCCACAAACACATATTTGTTTGGGGAATATTTTATCTTATTTTAGTGCTTTGGACCAGATCATACAATTCTTTTCTGGCTTCTACACAGCATTTAACGTCTTCTAACAGAAGTAGGCTGGCTGGCTGGCTAGCTCACTGGTAAGTATCTGGCTATGGAGCTGCAGGTTGAGCATTTGGTTGCCCACTGTGCATTGCAAAAAAGCCAGCCTGGGTGACCTTGGGCAAGCTGCACAATCCCAGGGCGCTCCCAGAAAAAGGACATGGCAAACCACTTCTTAGTACTCTCTACTTAGAAAACCCTGAAAAGGATCACCATAAATCAGAATTGTCTCGGTATCTCACTTTAACTAATTTTCAAGAAGCAGAGAGCCCCTCCTGAATAAGGCACCAACATGGCTGTGTATGTTTTTGCAAATTATATGCAAAATAAGGACAAAACATTGACCCTTGGCCCAACAGAATACTGTTTTAATACTTCTCAAATGGAATATTTCCTTTTTGGTCAAATCTGCTGTTGAATACATGACAAATTCAGCTAAACAACTTTGAATATTTAATTATGGAAGAACGATTTCATCTTTAGTTTAGGTACACAAGCTCTCAAAAGAGGATAATTACATAATCACTTAGCTTTCATGTTTCCAATTTTAATGTGAAAAGAAATAGTTCAAAAAGCTCTGAGATGCCAATAGTAAGAACGCAGGCTAGGAGAAATATGAAGGTTCCTGAAGCACAGTCTGCAAGATGGTTTAATGAAAAAAGCGGCATACAAGCTGTTTAGCATTCCAGTAAGTTCAGCCCAACTCCTCTCTCAAACCTGTGCATGCATTCTGTGTCTGTGTAGCATCTTCCAAAGTGTTTGTATAACAAAAAGGATCTTCAGGTATGTGTCAGTGTTAACACAAGCACATATCCAGGGTCCTGCCCTCTTCAGCACTGCTTTTCCTGGTTAGGAACAAGCTGAATTATCTCCAAAACACCGTAATTAGTTTTGAAGGGGAAAGAAAAACAAGAGGCAGTGCAATTGGAGCCAGTGAGGCAGTTGTCTCAGTGGACTGCTGATCTGGTGCCACCATCCGCCCACTGTCGATATCATGTTTTAAGATTTTGGACTACTTTTCCCACAATGCCTTGGATCTGAGGATACCATCAAAGCCAGGTATTATTAAAATAGCTGTCTGGGAAGCACTGAGGCTGCGGAAGCAGCACAAATCAGAAAGGGCTCTCCTGAAGCAACAGCTGCTGTGGCTTCTCTTTGTCTTCTAACGTGATATGTGGTGCCACTTTAATGCTGCCGCCACCTCCTCAATCCGCTGCCTCCTTTTCACCCACCTCCCTCTGCATGAGTGTTGCCATCTGCAATGAGGAGCAGCGGCAGTCCCCTTGCACTGGGAGGTGGGGGTGCTTTGTTTCCAGCCTCAGTCAGCATGGAAGTTTATGACAGCTGAATGGTGCTGTTGGTCAGATGCAGACTACTGCCCAGGGTCAAAATCAAACTCTTCTGTAAGCTATTGCCAGTAAGATCTATGGCTATTTATTAACTACCCCAGCCTGATCATTGCTGCTGCTCCCAGGCCAGCTCCCCTTGCCAAAGTGGTGGTATATACTCACCGTTTAATAATAGTTGGTCCAAATATATCCAAAAGTAGAAAGCAAATGCGTTTTAAGTTCCATATTTCTGGAAAACAATACATTAAGAAAGTCAATACACTCAGAAGACTGTGGTGAAATACCTGGAACATCTGAACACTTGGGAACTTAAGAAGTCATTCTAGCACACCATTCTGTCATAACAATTGCCATCCAGATGTTGCAGGAAGCTCAGAAATAAGACACTACACTATAGCTGTGGTCAGTTTTGGCTCCAGCATGAAGCAGTCATTTGAGAGCCAACACTCTCCCCTCACAAGTATGTGAATGGAAGAGTGGGGTCAGACTTGCTGGTCAAAAATCGTCTCTGTCCACGTCCTATACATTGGGGAAAATGGGTTTGGACTATGTACTATGATTCCCAAAATTCCTCAGAATATTTGCATAACTGTAGTTTAAAAGGAAGAGAGAGACAGAAATAATTTTTTGAAGGTTGGGACAACAGGGGTATAATGGCAGAGGTTGGTCCAGGAAGCCTTGCTCCACAGTGCACGCGCACACGCACACACACCATTCACAACTGAATACCTGAAAAGGGCTTATAGAAAGGACGAAATGTGATCAACAGTAGCCGGAAATTAGGATTCAGCTAGAGACCCGATTTTTCTTTACTAAGCTTTACTGGGCAACTTTCGATTCTTCCTTTTATAGGCATATGTATCCAAGAGAGTCTTATGAAGGTAACCGAGGAGATATGATTTTATAGTCTAACAAAAGCAGAGCTTGGAAACATTCCCTATAAACACACATGCACACACACACATAGACCAAGGCATCCATATAGCCCATTTTTTAATGCTCTGAAATAAATGGTAGATAATTTCCTTTGCTATCAGTCTCAAAGATTATAAAAATAATATTTCATATTTCCTTTCTAATCTGAAATTAAAGCAACACATCAAAGTCAAAATGGTTTCTAAAATAAACTCAATAGTATTTCAGTCTTGATCTCATGAATTAAAGTTTGCCACACCAATTAAATTGTTCATTGATTAATTACCAACTAATGTGTGCAGGTCTAATGGCAATACATCCTAGGATCTGTTGATTAATTAATCAACATTAGTTAACATGTTAGACAATAAAGGATAACAGGGTGCGAGAACAATTCTACAAAATGTACTCTTTACCTCTGGGGCTCACTTGTTTTTCTACCAGGAAGACCTTTGCAAATGGCTGGTATGGCATAGCTATAGAAAGTGAGCTAAAATATTGCACATGAAAAAGACATGTGAGGTTCCTTTGATTATTTCCCATAAACTGTGAAATGTTAATCTGTATATCAGTGTGTTGCACATTTTAAAAGAAATTTTCTCCTTCAGATGCCAGCCTAGCTTCCTATTAGACGGGCCTTCTGGGGATCATACTAAAATAGCAATTTCTTCCACATTAGCTCTAAGCACAGCATCAAAGAGATAACTGGAAAGACCAAGTGAGGCCTTTCAGAAATCCCCCCCCCCAAAATGTAGCCTCACACAAAAAGTACAACTGTTGAAAATTAGCAAAAATAGTCTCTTTTGTTTATATTTCTCTCAGTTTTTCCTTCTGATAGTCTTCCAGAATTGGCATGGTACTTTGTCTGCTGTGACTCCACCAAGTGACCCTGGCTTTAAACAATGGACCAAGTGGGAGTTTCTGCCAGACCCTTCATTTGCCTCTTTTCAGGATGGGCAGCTCTGCATTTGGAAATGAAGCTTTCCTAATTGGTAGAACACATCAGTTTCTTCTGACCACATTTTGAAAGTTAGATCACTTTGTTTTTGTGATTGATTATTAAGAGGTAAACATATGATTCATTTGCAGGTTAATCTGGCATGAAGCTCTAAAGAAACCTGTTGCTGGAGGACTACCAATGCTCTCAGCTTCTGAAAAGTGAATGTCAAAGCAACAATCTGACAACCCTACCTGGCATAAATAGAGTTGACCTCTACAGGAATAACCTGATAAAAGCACAGAAGGAGTTGGGCGGCTGTTCTAGACTATACCTGACAGGTGAAGCGTAAAGAATACCAGATGTCTGCAGGTATGACCTCCATTAAACCCCATTCAATCTCCAATGGCAATTACATTAGAAATAAAAGTTTCATTGGTGCACATGAGATTCCCCTCCCCAGAGAACTATGTGTTGCACTGGGGTGGTGGTGTTGGAGAGACATTACTTTATGGAGGGGGAAAGATTATTTTCAATTAGAGATGGGCATAGACCATACTTTGCAGTCTGGCCAAGTTCGGCATGGCGCCCACACATGTGTTTCATGGATGCTACTCGCTTCCCTCCCTTCCCTCCTTTGCACATTCACCCATGCACGGGCGGCCACACCCCGTCTGGTGGCCAGCCACTCACTGGCAGCTGTATGCAGTTCCCTCTTCTACCTCCTCCAGCGGCCACTCACTCAGACAGTTTGTGCCCATCTCTACTTTCAATATTTGAATGTACACAACACAAATGCAAATCATCTCATCAATGTCACTTGTATTTAGTACCTCCTATGTGATTTCAGTAAGTTAAACTAATGTACAACCACATAATGGGATTTGAATTGATTGTGTCTATGTAGTAAAGTTATCTTGGGGTCATGGTACACATCTCTCTCTCTCTCTCTCTCCCTCTCCCTCTCTCTCTCTGGAAAAAATCTCTGCCTGCACCATAAGGTGTTTTAAAAGTGTATATTGGAATAAAGCCACAAAGGTAATCTGCAGATTGAAACTGAACATGTCAGGGTGAAGGATTCTAGTACAGCTCTGTTCCTTACATGATGTTATCTAGGATGAAAGATAAGTATTTTCAGATACGTCTCTCCTCATCTGAAGCCTGAAGAGGGACAATCTAAAATAAGAAAGATTATTTCTAATGATTTTATAAATTGGTCCTTCAAATTAGTTACTTGCTGTATTCTTACATCCTTAGACAAGATAAATTTTTAAATAATATCGCAAGAAAGAAAATAAAAATAGACCCCATGTATTATCATCAATGCTGTTCAATTTCATTAATCTAACTCATTATTACTTATGACAGTAACTATGACATTTAGGAGATGTAAAATTGAAGTTATAGTAAACCAAGAACAGATTGACAACATGGAAAATTGGTCTTTACCAGAAAAGAAGCCACAGAGTCTTTCCAGGGCTTCTTTTACTGTAGAGTTGTGGACTTCAGCAAGTTGTTCTACTATGGAAATTGTAATCACACAACCTGCAAATGTGAACAAGAAAATGCATGTTACTTATATTGATTTAAACATTAAATGAAATTCTGCTACTGTAAGAAAAGTTAACCTTACAGGCCTTTTAGTAGCAATTACTAATATTCAATTAATAAATCATTAAATTCCTGGCTCACAAGCTGCAACAATGCTTCTACCTACACACTGGAAGCCTGTTTCACACAGTTTAATAAAAAGCAACTGTGTTTTACCCTTTGGAAAGCTTCTTCTTTTTTTTTTTTTGAGGATCAGTATTTCAGCCCCTGCAGTCTGAATTCCTTTCAAATTAAAAAAAAAGTGTCTGGGACCAACCATTCTCTTTGTACCTTGACAAAATAGATTGAAGCAGCACTATTTGTTGCTGTGCTCCCCCCTCCCCCTTGAAGGCCACTCCCGGTTTGCCAGGAGCCACAGGCTTAAGAGACCATTGTGAAAAGAGAAGAATTGAATATTCAGGGACATAAGAGAGCAAATCCCTCAAATACCTCTGCCTGCTCCTGCAATAATGACACAATAAAACAAAATAAATATCTGAAATTTTGCTGCCCTTTCATGATACACAAATATCTTCTACCAAAGGGGCTGCCTCACTCTTTGTAATTACAGTGGGCACCGTGGTTTACAGGTTGTAAGCCAGGCTTGTGAAATATAATTCTTCCATGTCTCTCCAGAACCAATTTTCCCCTCTCATTCCTTCTAATGCAAGACATTATTTATCCTAACCATTCAGTCTTTTTGTCATGAATTAGAGAAAGTAACCATGATTGGAAGAGCATTTGTGATATGAGAGGACTTAACATTGTAAGAATACTGCTCATACTTTGAGATGAGAGATGGCAAGTGAGAGGGTTATAAAAAAACAAAAATGCCTGTTTTGGCTTATTACAGACAGGAAGTAGAAAGAAAGTGCAGGAAGTACATTCTCAGCAACAAAAGAAGAAACACAGAACATCCAAGGTTTTAAACCAAAACACCCAATGACAGAACATTTCTGATGATTTAAACTTTCTGATCAAAAGATTTTACAATTAGATCCACTTTTACCTTTTGCATGTGCATATAATATATAACATGTACCGTCAAGTCAATTCTGACTTATGGCGACCCTTTTCAGGGTTTTCCAGGTAGAAAATACTCAGAAGTGGTTTACCATTCCCTTCTTCTAAGGGGCATTCTGAGACCGTGCAGCTTGCCCAAGGCCACACAGGCAGGATCTACTCCCTTGAGGCACAGTGGGGTATTGAACTTGCAACTTCTGGCTCTGCCGTCAGATATCTTAACCACTGAATAGGTTTTCCTCTATAGCTTTATTGTTGTTATATGCTAGCAAAGTGTTCCCAATTAATAGCAATTAACTAATTATTAACTATCATGAACAATCCTGCTCAGAACTTATTTATTAAATAAATAAATAAACTGAAGATTGTGGCTTTCTTCACTGAGTTAATTCATTTTATATTCAGGCTTCTGTGTCTCTTCTTGCCTTTCACTTCTCCCACTATTATTATCTTTCCTATTGAATCTTGCCTTCTCATTGTATGCCTGAAATATGGTAGTCTCCATTTGGTCATTTTCGCTTCCAGAGAGAGTTTAGGCTTGATTTGCTCTTGCACCCACTTGTCTTTTGGATGGTCTGTGGTGTTTCTAAACCTCATTTCCTACACTACATTTGGATGAGTGATTTTCTTTTATTGCTAGGTTTTACTTCCTTCTATAGCAGTTGAGAATGATATAGTATGGATTATCTTGATTTTTGTTTCTAGAAACACATCTTTACTTTCAAGGAACTTTCCTAGTCCCTTTGTAGTTGCCTTTTCAAGGCTTATTTATATTCTAATTTCTTCTCTGTAGTCATGCACATCTATTTCTTTTAGAACGATCCATAGTTTTTCATCATCTACCCAGTAGCAAGCTTTTCTGTAATTGTTAAAGCACAAACTGCTTTTCTTCTGAAATTCTTTGGTATAGCCAACACAGATTGGTAATATAATCTTTAGCGCCTTTTTCTGTTCTGAATTCACCCTGAGCGTCTGACATTACTTACTCTATGGTAAAAGTCTTGCAAAATCATGAGCATCACTTTTCTTGCATGGGAAATTAATGCTATGGTTATATAGTACTCCTTGGCATCTCTTTTCTTCAGGACTGTATTATACTGAAAGTTTCTGGGAAGTGGACCATTATATTCTTTTCTATATTTCTGGGCATATTTTTGTCAAGATTTTGATAGACTCAAAAATGTTGTCAAACTTTAAAGACTAACTGCTGTATTTTAATATGAGCCTTCGTGGATAAATCTACTTCCTCAGATGAAAGCTCACATTAAAATATACCATTCCCCCCAAAATAAGACCCAACCTGAAAATAAGGCCTGGTATGATTTTTCACTCCTTCATGGATTGCTGCCTTGTCGTGGTGAATGGGCTTGAGTAATTCAGAGAAGCTATGAGCTATGCCGTGCAGGGGCACCCAAGATGGAGAGGGCATAGTGCAGAGTTCCGACTAAATGCAATCCACCTGGAGCAGGAACTGGCAAGCCACTCCAGTATCTTTGCCAAGAATACCCCATGAACAGAAACAAAAGGCTAAAAGATATGACACTGGAAGATGGGACCCTCAGGTCAGAAGGGGTCCAACATGCTACTGAGGAAGAGCAGAAGACAAGTACAAGTAGCTCCAGAATTAATTAAGTGGTTTGGAAAAAGCCGAAAGGACGCTCAGCTGTGGACGTGCCTGAAAGTGAAAGTAAAGTCCAATGCTGCAAAGAAAAATACTGCCTAGGAACCTGGAATGTAAGATCTATGAACCTTGGTAAGCTGGATGTGGTCAAACAGGAGATGGCAAGAATAAACATTGACATCCTGGGCGTCAGTGAATTAAAATGGACAGGAATTGGCGAATTCAATTCAGACGATTATCATATCTACTATTGTGAGCAAGAAGCCCATAGAAGGAATGGAGTAGCCCTCATAGTCAACAAAAGATATTGATTCCAGACTCTGATTCCCTTCATATAAGTGTAACAATGGAATCCCTTTCACCATCACCATAGGAATTGCTATAGCTTCTGAATTCCAGTTCTACTCCCTGGTTCATTTAAAACATCTTGAATCCATTTTGATGGAAAACTGCAGATTATAAATGGAAACTATTTACACATATGGCCACTTAATTGCATATATTGAGTCACAGATGATTTAAGAAAAGTGACTCCTCTTTTTTTAAAGCCATATTCTCTTACATGCCACAGGCTTTAATCCAGGACAGAAATCAGAGGAGCCGTTTAGACACTGTTACTTAGAGTGTATTTTCATACTAACATTAAATACATAATTGGCATAGTGAGTGGGATGCCTGAGATAAGAATATTCTGTCTTTAAATCGTATACTCCATATAGTCATACTGGATTGAGTCCCAACCTAATGAAAACTGGAACAGATGTACCCAGTGAAATTGTGAGTAGCTGAGTTAGTTCCAATAACTTCTAATCCATCTGTGTTAAGTACAACCGACTCTGAACCCAAACCATTATTTTTAGAAATCGTTCAATTTGGAGACTTTTTTTGCCAGCTTTCCAGCTACATATCTATATGAACAACTACAGAAATCCATAGAATTTTGATCTGTTTTACGAGAATAAACACGTTTCTTTAAATAATAAGATTTTTTAACCTTTTACAGTCTAAGGAAAACATTGTTAAATTACTCAAGCTGATGTCAGATATTCAAGTTTCTTAAAGAGCACAAGACTTAATTATTGAGTTGATTATTAGTTTCACAGATAAAAGTCTACTGAATATTAGTATTACTGAAGTGAATCTGGTAGAAGCAAAATTAGCTATATGTAATTCTCTCACAATAACACAGACAGGATACAGTGACATTAAGAATTTTAGAGCACAGCTTGAAAAAGTCATTTTTAAAACCAGAACTCCCAGCATCTCCTAGTCACTGTGGACACATGGGGATTCTGGGCAGCAATCAAGGCTCTGCTTTTGAGCATCATTCATTAAACGTGCATTTTCCCAGTTTTTCTGAAGTTAAAAAGCCTTACTACCATTGTAAATTCCCTTCACGGATTGCTGCCTTGTCGTGGGGAAGGGGCTTGAGTAATTCAGAGAAGTTATGGGCTATGCCATGCAGGGACACCTAAGACGGACAGGTCATAGTGGAGAGTTCTGACTAAACACGATCCACCAGGAGCAGGAACTGGCAAGCCACTCCAGTATCTTTGCCAAGAATATCCCATGGGCAGAAACAAAAGGCTAAAAGATATGATGCTGGAAGATGAGCCCCTCAGGTCAGAAGGCATCCAACATGCTACTGAGGAAGAGCGGAGGTCAAGTACATGTAGCTCCAGAGCTAATGAAGTGGTTCAGCCAAAGCTGAAAGGACGCTCAGCTGTGGATATGCCTGGAAGTGAAAGGAAATTCCGATGCTGCAAAGAAAAATAATGCATAACAACCTGGAATGGAAGATCTATGAACCTTGGTAAGCTGGATGTGGTCAAACAGGAGATGGCAAGAATAAACACTGACATCCTGGGCGTCAGTGAACTAAACTGGACGGGAATGGACGAATTCAATTCAGACGATTACCATATCTACTATTGTGGGCAAGAATCCCATAGAAGAAATGGAGTAGCCCTCATAGTCAACAAAAGAGTTGGAAAAGCTGTACTGGGATACAATCTCAAAAATGGTAGAGTCATCTCAATACCAAGGCCATCTCATCTCCAAGGCAGACCTTTCGACATCACAGTAATCCAAATTTATGCACCAACAATCGATGCTGAAGAGGCTGAAACTGACCAATTTTATGAAGACTTCCAACACCTTCTAGAACTGACACCAAAGAAAGACGTTCTTCTTATTCTAGGGGACTGTAGGGAGTCAAGAGATAAAAGGAACAACAAGAAATTTGGCCTGGGAGTTCAGAACGAAGCAGGGCAAAGGCTAATAGAGTTTTATCAAGAGAAGCAGAGAAGAG